TAAGACTCTGTCTCAAAAAAAACCCCAGAGAAACCCCAAAGTTAACATTTCCAGAACTACACACCTCTTTCTTCTGGAGGCTTACCCAGCTCAACTGATGGCAAGTCTATCCCTTTGTTTGTTGAAACCAAAAATGTTGGCATCAGCCTTGATTGAAGTTATTTCCATATTCTCAACTATCTCCACTGCTACCACTCTGATCCAACTCACCATCGTCTCTTGACTGTATTATTGCAGAAACCTACCTGGTCTCCTTACTTCTGCTATTAGCTCTGAGCCCTCCTCAGAGCATGCTGAATGATTCTATTGAATTCAGTCCATGTTAATTCTCTACTCAGAACCTTTCAAAGCCTTCTTTGTCTCTGAAAGCCTCCTAGTAGCCCTATCTCATGGCTACCTATGTACGTATTCGGCCCTACCTTATGGGGCCATTGTTACCTTTCCTGTCTCCTTGATAACTCCCTCCCCCCTGGTTAGCTCACTGTTCCTCAGACATGTCGGCTAAGCAGAGGCCTTTGGGCCTTTGGGCTTGCTAATTTCTCCACTCAGAATAGTCTTCTCCCAGATGTCTGCATAGTGCTCCCTCATCTCCTACAGGGCTGCACTGAATTGTCACCTCATTGAGCCTTTCTGTACCCACTCTTCTGTAAGACTGGCATTTTGGTCTCTTTTGCTTTGTTCACCCACCGTGTCCCCAGTGCCTGGAACAGAGCCCAGCCCATTCTGGGTGTTCAGTGACTATTGACTAAACTGACTGAATGGGGGAGTGGATTAATACATGGGTGAGGCTCCACTTTGGCCAGAACTCTGCTGAGGATTTGATGAGCTTGAACATGATTTCCTCTTTTCAGGCCAAAGCCCAGCAGGGCTGGCTCGTGGCTGGCACAGTGGGCTGCCCAAGGCCTGAGGTCTCTCAGTACTCCAAGGTCCCTATCACTAGTTGCTTGGATTTCTGCTGGGACCGGCCTACTATCCTTGTGCTAGGTAGGTAGATAACCCTGCTTTTCTGTGTGCAGATGGATGTTCCCTGAGCATGTGGGTGTGTCTGGCTGGGGCATCCTAACCCTCTGCCCATACCCTGCAGGAAACGAGGGCTCTGGTCTGTCCCAGGAAGTGCAGGCCTCCTGCCAGCTTCTCCTCACCATCCTGCCTGGGCGCCAGCTGCCTGCTGGACTTGAGTCTTTGAACGTCTCTGTGGCTGCAGGTAAATCTACTCCCGCTTCCCTTTCTTCTCAGCTTCTCATCACACAGGTGTCACTTCTCTTTAATCCCATTTACCGGCTGTTTCATTCTAAGCAAGTTCTTCAACATTCCTGTGCCTCAGTTACTTTATGTGCAAAATGGGGAAAATACATCCTGTTGAGGATGAAAAGTGCCTGGCATGTGTCAAGGGCTCCGTCCTCTCTTCCTTTGCCCTTCTCTCTGTGCAGGAATTCTTCTTCACTCCATTTGCAGCCAGAGGAAGGGTTTCCCTGCAGAGAGGGAGA